GACCCTTGCACCTGACATCCCTGTCATCTCAGCCTACCAGCTCAAAATCAAACTGCCACTCAATCATCTGGTCACATTCCCTTTGGTCCCCGTGCCTTCCTGAAACTTGTCTGAATTTGCCCTGCCCCATCCCTACTTACGTTTAATTTGACTGGATAATATTTATTGATCCCATTTTATGTGCCAGACACTAATCATTCCCTCACAGACTTCATATAGGAGGATGGTCATTAACAGTGTCCCCACTTCATAGATGAAGAAACTGAGGTTAAGAGTGATAAACTAACTTGTTCAAGCTAGAAAGTTGTAGAACTGAGGTTAGAAGACATGTTAGTCTGAATCTAAAAGCCAAAGTTTTAACTACTTCATCAAATTGCCTCCCAAGGACTGTCCAATCTTCCCTCTTATTGGCTCATATCTCTAACCCCTTGTTCCCATTTCCTTGGCCACTGCCCTGTGTTAGACCCTACACAACTCATGCAAGGAATATTGAAAGGCCTTCTCTGGGGTCTCCTCACCCTTGGACCCCCTCCCTTCCTGCCACTGTGCATGTCCTGCCAGAGATATGGTACAGTGTGGTGGAGAAGAGCTGGGCTCTGGTGCCAGACAGACCTAAGTTTGAATCCCAGCTTCTTCACTCACCTGTTTCTGTGATCTTGGGTTAAATCACTTACCTTCTCTAAGTTTTCTCATATGATAAATGGAAATCATGACAGTATATATATCAAAAGATTTTTCTTTTTTGAGTGTTTAATGAGATAATGTATGTCAAGTTCCTTGGCACAGTGCCTGGCACATAGTAAATGCTCTGTATGTGTTAACTATGGTTATGTCATTCTTTACAGAGGGAGACCTTCATTATGTTCCCCCTTTCCCAATGTCCTTTACCATGGATGGGCTGTTACCACTCTCCACAGCTGGCCCTGACCTTCTTTTTCATCTTACCTCACTTTACTCTAACTCTCCAGTCCACCAGATGGTCTTCTCAGGTCCCTGGGCCCCCAGTAGGATATAGGGAAGAGACCATGTGCTCTGGAGTCAGATGGACCTGGGTTTGAACCTCAGCTTTGCCCATTGCTATTCTGTGAGCTAGGGAGGTTACTTAACCTCTCTAGACCTCACTTTTCTCATCTATAAAATGAGAAGAGGTTGTGGTAAGGATTGCATCTAGGAAAGCATCATACCTAACACTTGATAGGTGTTTAAGACCTCTTATCTATGCTGTTAATAGAATTCCTGCCCCTGCAGTCAGTCGCATCAGTCTTCCCACCTAAAATTTGTCCTCCTTTCTATTTATCTAAGTCTTTGGAAGCTCTCCTCCCAAAGAGAAAGTTCCCATGCTCCCTTATTTTTTGGATTCCTCCTGTGTGTTCGCATAGTGCTCTATATATGCACATGTACATTTCTGTACAGCTTTCATAGTATTTTCCAGCTCAATTAATTCACAACTCTGGGAGATAGTCCAGCCTAGTGATTATTATTCCTGTTTTTAAGAGGGAAACAGGCTCTGGAAGATTGAATGACTGATTCATAGTCACTAGCGGAAGCCTGAGCCGTGTCTGTGGCTCCTGGTCAGCGTGCCTCTCTCCCCTGTACCATTCTGTACCTGTGTGACTGCCGCTTCCCTGTTAATCAACAGCCTTCTTAGTGTTAAAATTACTTTTCCATGGGTGTCTGCCTTGTTCCCCAAGGGAGGATGTAGCCTGGTTCCTCCCCCTGCTCTAGTATCTTGCAAATATCTGTTACTTGGTTGATGTCATTCAATGTTTTGAAATTTGAATTAATGTGTTTATTGCAAGACCACTGCAGGAAACTAACGACTGTATTGGCTCGCAGCTTGAACAGGCACACTGAAATTTTATCCAAGCTTAAGAAACCACACCAGCAGATCCCATATGTCAGGTGCCTGCTTTTCTATACTCGGTGACTTTGGACTTTGATTCTTTGGATTTGGGGGATTCGGAGTGAGCTATTCCATCCCCTGCCCTGTGTTCTTGTTTCTATAATAACCCGATCATGCTGGATTGTAATTAATCTGCTTCTCCATCCACTTTCCCCCACCCCAGACTGTCAGCCCCTCTAGGGCTAGCACTATATCTGATGCCTGTCAGTGTCCAGCACCTGCCAATGTGCTTGGCGCATAGTTATTGGAAGTGAAATGAATAAAACAGAAAGACCCATCTGAGTCCATCCTCTAAACGCCCTGTGGGTGAGCTTGTTCCCATTCTCTTACTTATCTTGTTTCATATTATACAAATTTCTTATCTCTTATGCTGAATTAAGGACAGATTTCTTGTTTTGCTCACTTTTATAAACTCCTTAACAACCAGGGGGGAGAAAACTGTAATTACTGAGTGTTTATTCTGTGCCAGTAGTGATTTTACATATATTATCTCATTTTAAAAGTAATTTAATTCTCATATAGGTCGATGAGGTTGATAGTATATGTGAAATCACTACTGGCACATAATAGGTCAATAAGGGAGCTGAAACCCAGGGAAATCAAGTAATTGGAACTTGACCAAGTTTACACAGCTAGTTAGTGGCAATGCTGGGATTTGAATCCCTGTCTTCCAGCTGCCTCAGTGATTAAGAGCTCGGCTGATAACTAAAAAGTCAGCAGTTCAAATCCACCAGCTGCTCCTTGGAAACCCTGTGGGGCACTTCTATTCTATGCTGTTGGGTCGCTATGAGTTGGAATCGACTCAATGGCAACGGGTTTCATTTTTTTGTTGCTGTTGTTGTTTCTTCCAGCTCTAAGGCCAATGCCTTTTTTTTTTTTTTTAACAGCATGCAGGATAGCTGAGTGCTTTAGTCTAGCAAGTATCAGAAAGTCTGTGGAACTTAGACTTGAGTATAATCAAATTAGATCGCATCTGTTGAAGCCTGCTCTCTAGTGCTTAAAATATACATATTGCCACCTTCTCATTTTACAGATTTGATAAAATGCTTCAGTAACATGTACGGAGCAGCTAATGCATCAGACACAGTGCTAGCTGCTGGGGATCAGCAATGAGACAGGCTCCCTCAGGGAGCTTACAGTCTAGTGAGAAAACAGACATGCAACAGTGATAATAAATGTGACAGAGAGTAGGGCTTAGGTCTGCTCTGAGTGTTCTTGCGAGGCTCATGAGTAAATCATGAAGGAGGAATGAGAGTTAGTCGAGACAAGCAGGAGGAGAGCACAGAGGGAAGAGCATGTGCTAAGCCACTGAGGTGCAGAATTACAGGTAGGATGGGTCTGCAGCTAGCGGGTATTTTGGTGCAACAGACTGGACTCTGAAGCTAGTCTCCCTTTGGCCATATCATGCACCAAAGAACACAACTGGCTACCAGCTCTTGCCCATAAGCAAGCAGCACTCTTGGCTTAGAAGACAACTAGAACATTCTTCTCTCCCAGGAAATGAGTTAGAGAAACAGCTGGCAGCATCTTCCATCTGTCTTCTCTAAGGAGATGTGGACTAAAAATGGAGTTTGCATTTTCCATGATGTGTTGTAAATAATGAGCAAGCAATTGGTGGATTCACATGGCTATGTCATCTGCCCAGGGCAGAGTATGGCTGCATTCAGCAGGCAGGAGGTTGCAGCCTGGCTTTGTGCCCATGTTGTTGATGTGCCACTAGAGGAGAGGACCTGGGGTAACAGGTAGCAGGTGGAAACAGGACCAGGCCCTGTTCAGAATTATTTTCTGATATGGTGAGGCCGGGGGGAAGGTTCTGCCCACTCTAGGCCACCAGGTACAAATGTCATTTGGTTCACCCAGTTCAAGTTTCTCTCTTCAACTGTGCCTGAAAATGTTTTTTAACTTGAGATTTTATCAAACCAACCAAAGAATCGCTGAGAACTGAGCTAACCCTATATGTGAATTAACTATATGTAATTTAGTCAGTAATAAGTATATATTCATCTGTATTCATCACATGCAAATAATATGCCAAAACAAATTCAGTGTAGTGCTGGTGTTGACTATCAATACGCCACCACCACCCCCATCTTCCCTGCTCCCTAGGCGTTGATAAAATTCTCAGGTGAAGTTCTTTCTTGGTCCTGCCCAAATCTTATTCTGTTCTCTCCCTGCTCTTGAGCTGTGGGTGAAGTCCCTCCTGCATACCACTATAGTCACTATCCTGTGTGATTGTCAGCATACCACTAGGGACTGGTGACTTCCATGTATCCAAACTGCCTATCTCATCCTTTAAATGTGGCTAACCTACCTGCCCCTGATCCTAGAAGCTACCTAAAGCCAGCTGAAGACAACAATGCTTACTTTATGTTCGAGAATTGCTTAAGGCTCTTATCCGCTTATTCTCTTTACCTTCTGTTCTTTGTTCATCTTTCCAGCTCTCCACTGCCATTTTGCTCCCCTGATGCACTCTTCCATGCTGTCGTCTGGGTGATTTATCTAAAATTCAAATGTGACCATGTCTTTCCCCTGTCCCGAACCCTTCAGTGGTTTCCAGGCCCTTTCAAATCACATCCAAACTCCCGAAGCATTTAGAAAAAGGCCGTCAGTGAGCAGGCTCCTTCCTACCTCGCCAGCATCATTCTCTACCTCTTCCCTTGACAGTGTGTGACACAGAAATGCTGAATTACTTATGGATCCCCAAACACACAGTGTCATTTAATGTTTCTGAGTCTTCCAGAAATAGCCTTTCCTCCCTGTCCTGCCCTAAAAATCTGATCAGCCTTGACAATTGTCTCAGCTGCCCCCCTCTCTGAGACCCTCCCAGACAGAATTCATGCCTCTGGGCTGCCTCTGTGTCTTGTTCGTGCATCTGCTATTGCCCCATCCACACATTCCCAAGACTTCTTGCTTACTGCTTCTGGAGAGCAAGGACTCTGCCTACTGCTGACTGAATAGCACAGGGCCTAACACAGAGTAGGTGGTTAGTCAGTACTGGTTAAATTGTTGTCCAGTTACACCTTCTCCCCATCATTTAAAGAAATTCATGTGTCAACCACGGCAACAATGCTAACTGCATCCTGGTTGGCTTTCCCAGGTCGGGCCAATCACTGGTCTGCGATCATTGGCGGATCCCACTCCAAGAATTACGTGCTGTGGGAGTACGGAGGATACGCTAGTGAAGGTGTCAAGCAAGTTGCAGAACTGGGCTCACCGGTGAAAATGGAGGAAGAAATTCGACAACAGGTAAGAAAATCTTACAGATTGACCAAAACTCAAAAATAGGGTGAAAGCCTTCCTTAGATTTCTCTCCCAGGAGCTTGAAATTTGCAGTACTGTGTGCTGGACAACTGGTACCATAGGAAGCTAAATCTATTTGCTGAGTTTGGGGGTTTTATGTCAAGTACAGAACAGAGGCACAAATGTTCATCTGTCTCAGATTTTTCCTGAATGCCCTTGTATTTTCTTCTGCTTGTGCTGCTACTGTGGCTGCATTGTTGGTATGTCATGTCTCTAGTCTCCTGAGAGTCAATGTGGAGAATTACCATTTTCTGACTGTGATAAAGGGTTGGGGACTGATGTTCAAGCTGTCTCAGCCAACATCATCATCTCCAAAAATAAACGTTTATGTATTGGCACATGCTTTTTGCAACTATGTCTTGAGGGCTTTGATACATTAGTCGGTCATTAGTCACAATCATCGTAGACCAAAGTACCTTTTATGTACCATGTCATGTGGGCCCAGAAGCTGTACTGTTATCTAGGCCCCCATTCATACCACTAAGAGATAAGGGAGAAATAGCCCATAATTCTTTTCCATTTGTTCAGCTTCCAATGCCATCATCCTTCATCAAAAGCCTGATCCAGTCAGCACTAGACAGAGGCTGATGAGAGAATCTTGGAAGAGCCCCAGGTTTCCTATGGCCATTAACATGCTGCCGTATGAAGAAGTGGCATCCCCTTTAACTGTTACTACCCAGTCTGAGAGAGCTAGTGGGCAGCCAGGTCTCACTGCCTACCAAGAGCTCGGAAAGGAGTAAGGAAAGAGAAAATCCTGCTTGGGATATGGGCATTTCACAACACAGGGCACTGAGCGGCTGCTGCCCTCCTCCGGCACCACGTCTCCTGAGTGAATACAGTGGGCCTCAGGTCTCCTCCAGGTGTGGAGGAGAGACCTAGGCCCGCCCTCCTTGGCTCAATGTGCGAGTGCTCAGACCACACACAGGAGGGTGAGCACAGCTGAGGCCCCAGTGCTTCCCCTTGAAAGCTACCAGCTGGACTCTAAAGTGCCCACAGACCCCAAGTTGAATCCAATAAAGGTCACCCTGACTTCTACTGTAATCCTTGGAGGAATCCTTTTGGACCAGAGTCTAAAATGCCCAGGAATTATCTTGTTTTTCTTATTAATTTCATGTAAAGTCTTTTCTCCTTTTTTCAAAAGTTGGACCAGATGTTCTAAGATCACATGTTATTCATCAAAAGTTTATCCATCTCACTATGTTGTGTTCCTCTGACTCTGGTTGCCATGCCTAGTAATTGACATCACGTATTCAGGCTTTGTCTAGGCCACATCCATCTTTAAAATCATGGAGGTCTCCATGCTGATCCTGTGCTGTCTGGCCTGTCATGGCGGGGGGCTGTGGAAGGCGGGGGGGCTTGTCTGGGATTCACTTTACTGGTTCGCAGACATGTAATTGGGACACACTGGTTTGTCAAGATCTGCTGTGTGGTTTGTTGAAAGTAATTTGTTACAAATCATGGTTAAAATACTAAAGTTTACAAATAAGGTCAAGAGTATCTTGATAATGTTAGCTGTCTTGAGAGGTTTCTGGAGAGAAAACAAGGATTATAAGAAGCCATGACTATGTTGTGCCAGTGGACATCATGTGTCATGTGTCGTAGCAGTAAAAACGTTGACAATTGATGTATGAGATCCCCCAGTCTAAGGAATATCCGTTTTAGAAAACATTCCTTGTTTGGTGATTTCCCCAGATTAGCTTCTATACCACATAGGCAAGGCCTGTCTATCCCACCTGGCCAGGCTTCCTGACATTTAATTATAAAAATAAGTTTAATTATGGGCACTACGTATGGAAATTAAGAATCCAACTGAGCAAGTCTCAGTGTTTATCACTACCTTTTAGGACCACGGGCACCCTCACGTCTAGACTGAGAGGAAGATATTATTATCCCCATTTTACAGACAAGAAAACTGAGGCACAGTCAATTGCTAGAGAATACTAGATGAGAGACTTGAACCCAAGTCTCTCTGATTCCAAAGCCTGTACACAGGACCAGTGACTTAATTTGAAAGATCCAATGAAAAATGAAAACTTGAGGTCCCTTGTCCAAAACGTATTAAGAATTTCAAGACAGTGACAGCAGAACATCAAACCAAGCATGGGGCCCTTCTAAGCATAGGGCCCAGTGCCATTGCCCAAGTCACAAACCAATGAAGCCAGCCAGCCCTGCCTATACATCTTCCCTGCCCCACACAGCTGCCCTGCAGGGAACCCTCTCTCTCTAGCCTCTGCATCAGGCCCCTGGAATAAGCCCTGTTTGTAGTACCCTGACAGCCATGCTTCAAACTCCCCAGCTCCTTGGAAAGTCAGTTGAATAGAGTGATTTCAGATCCCTTCACTTCCAAACAGTTTTTAGTTTTAAATATTGTCCTCTACAAGCACACAGTTTATTATATTTTTTCTGAATCAGGTAAGAAACAACATAAAAAGGAGCAAGAATATGAATCCTCCTAGAATATAAAATTGTCCTCTGAATACCCAGAGAACTTGTTTGAACACATCTACAAACTAACACCGTGTTCTCAGCCTTTAATACCTTATATCCTACCAATCGCTCTATCAAAGAACTCGAGTCCAACCATGATGAAACTAAAAAGCCCGTTTTTTCCAAGATGTTTATATGCTTACCAGCATTTTCTTATTATAGACTTATCACTCACTGCAAGTTTCAAGGGCATTAAAAATCACAGAGGATATTGTTGGAGGTAAATTTTATGCTAATGGCTTTCAAATACAAATGAACAAAAATAATAATTCCATTAGTAGTGGAAAATTGTAATAATACTGTCGAGTATAAATTTTAATGTTACAATAACTGTAAAACACCAGGAAAGTTGATGAAAAATTATAACAGTGTTATTGGCAATCATGATGCTGGTGTCTGGGGAGGGTCGGGGAAGGACACAGTGTACACTCCTTAGCAGGGGAACAGAGGCAAATGCTTCCTGGTGGCCAATGGGAACTGAGAATGAGAACTTCTCAGCTAGGGCTAGCCTGGCAGGTCACAGATGGGTAAATCAAGGCAGGTGGAGGCAGTAGGAAATGGTAGATTACGCTTGTAGGTAGATGTTGGAACCCAAGGTGAGCTGATGCATAGTCACTGTTATGGAAACTCTGCAGCCCACTTAGACCACTTCTATTTCAGCCAGCATACATTTATGGGGTGTTTACTAGATCCGGTTCTCTGCTAGACATCATCCCGAATATGGTGGCCCCATTCACCCAGTTATGCGTGCTAGAAACCTAGGCATCATCCTTGAGTCTTCCTCCACCCACCTTGCAGCTTCTCTTCTATTAAATTCATCCAGTTCGCTCTACCCTCATTGCCAACACTCTGTGTAAGAAAACCAGTTGCCATCGAATCAATTCCAACTCATGGTGACCCTATGTGTGTCAGAGGAGAACTGTGCTCCATGAGGGTTAAGTAGTTTGCTAGGCCTTTCTTTTGAGGCATCTCTGAGTGGACTCAAACCTCCAACCTTTCAGTTAGCCCCTGAGCATGTTAACCATTTGCGCGTTAACCCAGGGACTCCGCCACGCTATCTAAGCCATCCTCATCTCTGCCTAAATTGCTGCACTAGCCTCCTGCTCTCCTGCCTCCAATCCACTTCTTATTACCTTTGCTGCCGCAGGACCATCTTTATAAAACACAGTTGATCATACCACTCCCTCAGTTAAATTGTATAATGGCTTCTCATTGATCCTAGAGTAAAATCCAAACTTGTCATAGCTTGAAAAGTCCTCTGTGATCTGGCCCTGTCTTACCTGTTGGATCTTATTTCTTGCTGCAACTCTAAGCTTTGCCTATGCAGAACCTCTTTCAGTTTCCCTAAAAAGCTGTGCCCTTCTTGCATCTGGGCCTTTCTCAGGCTAGAATATCTTCCAGCACCCCTTTAACTGGTGAACTTCTGTTCATCCTTCAGTCCTTCCTGGCAGCCTTCCCCGATTCTATACTAAATTGGTCATTTTGCCAGGTACTCCCCAGTACCCTGTACCTCCTCTATCATTACAATCATCACACTCTACCCTAAGTACTTGTTTGATGTCTCTTCCTCACTAATTTATTCATTCAGTAGCTTCACTGAGCACCTACTGTATGTATTGGACATACAGCAATGATCAAGATAATTCCCTGTCTTCATGGAGTTCCTTTCAGGTCCTACATTCTAATAAGGGAGATAAGAAAAATAAGTTTTTCAAAAATAATTAGATATAAATTATAGTAAGTTGCAATAAACAAACATAGAAAACAGTGGTAAAAAGGGACCTGTTTTAGATAAGGTAGTCAGGGACAGTCTCTTTAGAAAGCAAACATTAAGCTGAGACCCAAAAGAAAAACATGGGGAAGAGTGTTCTACAACAGCATATGAAAAGGCACTGAAGCAGAAAAGAGTTTATCGTGTTTGAAAAACTAAGAGAAGATGGGTGTGGCAAGAGGAGAGTGAATGAGGAGGAAGTGTGGCACAAAACAAGACTAGGGTTGAATGAAGGATAACATTACCCCGAAAAACCCGTTCCCACAGAGTCGATTCCAACTCATAGCGACCCTATAGGACAGAGTAGAACTGCCCCATAGGGTTTCCAAGGCTGTAAATCTTTAGGGAAGCAGACTATCACATCTTTCTTCCACAGAGCAGCTGGTGGGTTCAAACAGCCAACCTTTCGATTAGTAGCCCAGAGCTTAACCACTGTACCACCAAGGCTCATTTATTTTACCCCTGTTGTTGTTAGGTGCCATCAAGTTGATTCCAACACACAGCAACCTCATGTACAACAGAACAAAACACTGCTCAGTCCTATGCCATCCTCACTATCATTGCTGTGTTTGAGCCCATTGATCCAGCCACTGTGTCAGTCCATCTTGTTGAGTCTTCCTTTCTTTCAACGACTGTCTACTTTACAAAGCATGATGTCCTTCTCCAGGGACTGGTCCCTCCTGATAAC